TCCCTGCTTTGTCCTCTGCCACCAGTAAAGGGGGTTCTCCAAGACCAGTTTTATTCAGAATCAGACCTCTGAGAAAAAAATGCAGCTACAGAAGATCCATGTAGCCACATGTGGTGCATAGTGGGCTCCAGGTCACCGTGAGAGAAGGCAGCTGCCTCCCAGACACACTGAAGCCAATTGCTATTGCCCAACCCCCCAGGGAGTTTACTGTGTGAAAACCACTGAACAGTGCATGGCCAACCTAGCAGCTCCCACGTCTCTTCTAGGAATCCCATAAATAGAGGAATTTATTTTTCTGAAAAACGTAGGCCTGAAATGAATGCTTGTTCTTTCCTCCCTTCAGCCCAAGACTGTAGGTCCTACATCTATTACAATCTCTCTCCACAATGTTCTAGAGAGTAAGGTCTTTCTTTGCAGCACTGGTTTGGTTTCAGATCCATTACACCCAGGCACAGCAAAACTATTTAGAATATTTAAGAAACCTTCAAATGAAGTTGCCAGAGAGGAGCTTGCAATCTCCTGTTAAATCACCTATGCCATCTGTCCAGAATTTCCTCAAGAAATTACTATGAAAACATGCAGCCAAGAACATAACAGCATCCCCAGATTTCTTTGTAGATGTGTTCTTAATGTTCAGGATAATTATCTTCTCAACAAGATTTGGTAATTTAAGGGCTTCATAAATGTTGAAGGCATTTCAGCACCTTGGTCTACATACAGATGAAAGCCATGATCATAGAAAACTTACAAAAACATCTCTTTGGGGAAAATGAGAAGAGTTTGCTATATTTACTAAATAATTTAGCAGCTGCATTCCCTCTTTTTTTCCAAGGTACATTCTGGCAGAGATGCAAAGTGTTAATTTGACTCAGTTGTGCTCTGCCTAACAGACTCCTGGGTGTCTGGATGAGCAGCTGTGATCTCCCTCAACTTCTCACTCAGGGTCATCCCCAGGGCTCAGCATCCTGACTGCCTCCACTCAGCACCTGCCTCAGCAGTAGTGACACAGTATGGATTACAGCTGTGGCAACAAGCCAGACTTCAAGAGCTGTGGTTTCTATCCTGTGCATCCACCAAGATCTTAGATACATTAACGCTGCTGCACTTACATAGGTTGGGCTTTCTTGAAAGAAAGATCAACAGCCTCTCAGCAGAGACAGCGATGTTCCAAAATGTTGGCAAAATATTGCAGTTGACAGTAATGTTTGCTGAACTCTTTTGACATCTGCCTGAAAATTGCCCATGAACAGTTAGTAAGATTCTCAAATGTGCTCATTATCTGGAGGATTATCCTTGATGTGCAGTCAGTTCATAAAAGGCTTGCTGCAAATCCTCACAGTCCTCATCAAGACAATTACTTGCAGAAGTTACACAGTACAGCTTTTTGTGCTCTGGCTGGGTGGCTTCTCTGGCTTTCACAGCATGAGCTGTGAATGGTGCAATTAAGTGTTCAACTTCATGTCACAGTACGGAAACATGATGCTAAACATTTGCTTTTTGCAAACATCTACCCTAGCAAAGCCTGAGCCTTTGATTACTTACAGTGTTACAAACAGGCTGAGAAAAGGGACAGATTGAATGAAAATATTTTTAAAAACAAGGATCCAAGAGCTTAAAGCGTTGCTACTGCCCTGCTAAAAAGATTTCTTTCACTTCACAGGAGAAAGGAGGTGGCACTTCCCTTTGCCTGTGTGTGTCCCCAAATGTTACACAGCCTATTCCAACAGATAATATCCAAAGCTGATAAAAGCTTTTCGCTCTCCCTGTGATAACCCACATCCTCCCATCACAGGATCTTCAAATTTCAATACCAAATTCAAGATGATCATGGCAAAACTGAAAAAAAACCAAAAACAACAACAACAACAAAACCCCCAAAAAACCAGTCCTCCTTACAGTGACAATGTACTGAAGCCCGAATCAGGACTAAAACACAGTATATTAATGAATTTGCTAGACACTTTAATACTGAAGGCAGCTTTATGTGCTATTGACTAGGTTAAAAATGTTCTGAACAGCTGCTGGGGAAACTGCTAAAAGAACCACAGTAACATGTGGGCATTGAAGCCCTTCCACTTGTTATTCAGATCATAGTGATCTTAGTTCACATACGTTATTCCTCCTCTTCCAAATGAGGAATTAACACAAAAGTTTTAACTCACTATAATTTGAGTACATTATTTGTACACTCTAATTTCATTCCGTGTAATTCACATTTTTGATATACAAGTCCCACATATTGCATGGCTGAAAATTTTATTTTCAAGTCACAACACATGACGAGGAAAAGGTTTGCTATCACAGACTTTGACACTGTGAATAATTTTGCAAGGTTCCTAGAACTATTCCTGTGTTGAGGGTAAGCCTGAGTTAGGCGCTTATTTAGGTCCTTGATTAATTAGCAGTCTTTGATAATAGAACTTGGCAACCTCTGAAATTCTTGACTAAATCATCACAAACTGTTTCACTACTTAGTTCATATTTCCCTGCCTAATCAAGATATGTATTTTCTTACTTGTGCAAGCTAAATGTAATTGAAGTTCCTGTGCAGGAACAATATAACCAGAAATAATTTGTAGGAGCATTTGACTGTGGCCAAAAAAAATACATGACATAGCTACTTATTCAACCCCCTCTGTGATACTATGAAGAGGGGAGAGATCCGTTTTGGAGGCAACAATAATCTCACCTAAATTACACACCAAGACTCCTCAGCTAATTTAGTGTTGTATTTACATTATTGGCCAATTTTGCTTATATTATTTTCTTTCAAATTTCTTCCCCATTCATAGCAAAAAGCTCAAGTAAAGCAGAAACATGAACTTTAATTTTTACATCTTTACCTCATAACAGAGTAGGAATAGCAGAGAGACCCATCACAGGAAAGCAGAAAGCTCTCTTTTTGTTTTTCCTCCTCAATCTTCCCCAAAAGTAATTAAATTTAAAACCTCACTCATGGGGAAAACTACAGCCAGTTCATTCTTAACCACTTTACCTGCACTTTGCTCAAAAGTTACCAGAGGGATGGCGTAAACACTCCAAGCCTAGGCATACCATCTGAACTCTTATTTTTCTTTTAAAAAAGCAAAACAAACAAAAACTCCCAACAAAGCACACAACAGAAAACGATAAACTTGTTTCAAGAGATAGCAATTGAAGGGCCAACATAATAAACATTCATCCCGCACAGTTATCTGAGAAAATAACTGAGAAAAAAAAATCCCTACAATACCTTGGGATTTTTCTTCAAAATGGAGTAAGGTTTTTGTTGCTTCTAATCCTTTCAGAGCACGCAAGATTGGATATCACAGCTATGACATTGCTGGACTGAAAAGCTATTTTATGTAATTTTGCAGTTTGTAAGAGGCAGTGGTTGCAATTTTCCTTTCCCTCAGATATCTGCACAGTGTTCATGGTAACTAATGCACCTGCCTTTATGAAAGAAAAGATGTAGAACACCATACACATTTAGACAATGCAATATATAGTTTCCTAAAATAATTCATCATATGCAGAATATTTTACTTATTTGTGAGATCTTAATGCAGGAGTCCATTGTATACACTGACCTACATAGCTCTCACTCTACATCTCCAATCCATGATTTCTGTATTTCTTGCTTTAATAACACAGTTTTCTAGACTTTACACTCTTATGTCTTCATTCCATTATGGCATTTCTCACTTGGTGGTTTTCCTCTCTGGCACTTCGGGGGGGGTGGTTTGCAGAGCACAAAAACTAAGCCAGAAACCAAGCCAACTCACCAGATTAGGGATGTGTTTTGCCTTTCTCAGAACTGTATCACAGTGGGTTGTTACAGCAGCATAGATCCCCTCTCCAGACATTACAGTAGCATTTGTGTGTATATTTATTGCTACTGTATTTATTTGTAAGGATGTACATGTGCCTGCCTTGCCAAGATCATCCTGCTCTGCAGCCCCATGGAGCAATTAAAAGTCTCACTTAAATACACTGCTCCCAAATGTTTGCTGGTACTACTTGGTGGGAAAATATCACAAACCCTGGGTCTTGGGGCAGGTAATGAAGGAGATCACAGTCAACCTCTACTTCATTAAATTCCCTCAGGAATAGGGCAAAACCAATTGAAACTGATAGAGCTCTGGAACAGGTGAAAAATTCACATTACCCTATTTTGTGGAAGGGAAGAGCAGTATGTAGGTTCTGGTCATTAAATAACTAAAAGTGCATGTAATTAAGATGAGCAGGACAGTGCTAGCTATAAGAACTTGTAAGAAGATTACAGTCTGTATGGATTTAGCAAATGTTAAAATTGTTTCTCTCCTGTTCTTAAACCTGAGTGTGAAATAGTGACAGAGGGTAACAGTCCTTCCCTTCTGATGGCCTGCCTAGGGAGGCGGGGGGTCTGTGTCAAAGCAGCGTGAAATCAAAAAGGACGTTTCTAAAAAGAGCTTCTATCTTTTTATCCAAATCCATATTTTTTTTGTTGTTCTATCCAAAGCAAATGTTAAATATTTCAAAGACTCTTGCAAAAAAGCTCCTCTGTTGCATGCTTCTGCTGTCCTTTAGCTCTGAACTAACACAGTGGTAAAACCCAGGAAGGTGGAGCCTGCAGGCAGTCTCCAGCTGCTGGTGTTCCTTGGAGGAGTCAGCACTGACCTGGCAGGCTTGAGGCAGCTTATCCAATATCCATGAAATGATGATAAATGGAACTGGTTCCCAGCCAACTTGCTAAGAGCAGATGAAGCTACAGGGCTTGACCACTCCCTGGATCCAGGAAAGCCTCAAATCCACCCAATGCTGGAGGCAAGACTGGAACAGCAGCAGGATAGGGCTGCAGGAACCCCGGCCAGGCTGGCGAGTGTTCTGCAGGTTAACCAGCAAGGCAACACTGTTACTAGGCTGCCATCGTGGTTTATTTTAATGGGACACAAATGATGTTTGCTCAGGAAAAGACCAGTTTGGGGGGAGAGGAGAAACAAGCCAAGAAAAATAACTGAACTGTATTAATTTATTTCTAGACTTTTATGGACTCTACTCCAGCGCTGATCTTTACATGGGTAAGACAGCACATGCATCTCGCTCTCTCCCTCTCCTGTACCTTTATCAAGCAGTCCCATTTCCTGTCTGATTTCCACCAAAGCATGCTCTTCTTAGCAGGACAGGCATTAACAACATTAACGCCAAATTAGATTTGTAGGTATTCATGTGCATAGCTGCCACAGACGCTGTTGATCCTAAGATAAAGTACATTATTTTTCATTCTTTAAATAATTTTAAAATATTCCAAAGCACATTTTGAAAGATTGTTCAGAAAAAATGTTATGAAGAAAGAAAATGCTAGAAACCAGAAAATTATTTTCATATACCTTTTAAGTTATCTAAATAACAACATGCTATGCATGCTTAATGTTTTCTATATAAAACCATCTATGAGAAATTACCAATCATAAAAGCATTAGTTCAGTTGCACTGCTCTATTTTAGTACACTATCTTGCATTGTGGTACCTCATGAGAAAAAAAGGAATATCTGAGAAATGCACTAAGACACTTAGCTTATTAATGGCCAGCCCTATATAAGCTCATTTTCTTGCCCCAGGCTTTTATGATCTAGCAATGGAAAATTTTTCTTCGTATTTTTCAGAAATAACAGAAAATTCCAAGAAATGGAAGTCGCTGCTAGTAAAAGAAGAAAAGCTGAGTATCATCAGGGTTAATAGCTCCTATTTGAGATCCATGAATGATTACAGAGTTGCTTTTCTATATCGAACTTTCAAGTTTCATTAATAATATGCTGCCTTTCCAGGACATAGGTGCACTCCTCGTACAAAGGCTGTTTATTCATCACATGGAATAGAAGAGCTAGAGGAACAATGGCTTCAAAGGTCTCATGCTTATACATTTTGACAGTAGTTTGTTGGGCAAGCGCTCTTTGGTACTTAAGTATAACTCGTCCTACTTCTTCCTACACTGGCCACAGACAGGTCAGTAGCATATCCATAGCCAGAAAAAACGTTTCCTTTGGCAACATAAGAACTCGACCTATAAATCCACATTCCTTTGATTTTCTTATCAATGAACCCAACAAATGTGAGAAGAGCATCCCTTTCTTGGTCATTCTTATCAGCACAACTCACAAAGAGTTTGATGCAAGGCAAGCCATTCGAGAAACATGGGGAGATGAAAACAACTTTAAAGGAATTAAAATCGCTACACTATTTCTTCTTGGAAAAAATACAGATCCTGTGTTAAATCAAATGGTAGAGCAAGAAAGCCAAATTTTTCATGACATTATTGTGGAGGATTTTATCGACTCTTACCATAACCTCACTCTGAAAACGCTGATGGGGATGAGGTGGGTAGCAACATTTTGTTCAAAAGCAAAGTATGTTATGAAGACAGACAGTGATATTTTTGTAAATATGGACAATCTTATTTATAAGCTGCTCAAACCTAACACCAAGCCAAGGAGAAGGTACTTCACTGGTTACGTTATAAACGGAGGACCAATAAGAGATGTTCGCAGTAAGTGGTACATGCCGAGAGATTTGTATCCTGACAGCAATTACCCACCCTTCTGTTCAGGCACTGGCTACATTTTTTCAGCTGACGTAGCAGAACTGATTTACAAAACCTCCCTTCATACCAGACTTCTTCATCTTGAAGATGTGTACGTTGGACTTTGCCTTCGGAAACTGGGCATTCACCCCTTCCAAAACAGTGGCTTCAATCACTGGAAAATGGCCTACAGCTTGTGCAGGTACCGCAGGGTGATCACAGTACACCAGATAACACCAGAAGAAATGCACAGAATTTGGAATGACATGTCCAGCAAGAAACATCTTAGATGTTAAGATTTTTACAGATGTAAATACCTTTTTTTTTTTTTTTTTTTTGGTTTAGTCGGGTTATTTTTTGACAAAGTGATCTGCTGATTTACAAGTTGAACTGTGGGATATTAACTGTGAGAGGATTTTTATGACTGATTTTTCATTCTCGCTTTGACTACTAGTTTACAAACTTCAGGCTCTTTTTGGTAAGGACATTATACCAACCGAAAGGAACTCGAGTCAAGTCTCAGATTTTGTATATTATCATCTATCACACATATCAGCTCTTGCATCTGTGTGTAAAAGGACAGTAATAAGCTATTATGAGCTGCTTAACAGTTCATGCCCCAGCCTCTGAGATAAGACTCAGACCCTAAGAAACTTTTATTCTTTTTTGACACCCTACAACCATCTCTATTTAGAGCTGTGTTCATAAATTAAGCAGTCTACATTTGCACTGAAGTTATATACCTACCTTGACATGTATATTTGATAGTACAATGTGTGCAGTTCCCAAATAGCTTACTGATGGTGTAATAGCAGAACTTAGACAGGTAAGAACATCAAAGTCCCACTGGCCTTAGAAACAAACCCACACACTGAAGTATATTTTCATCTACCAAATGGTATTTCTTTAATTTATTTCAGAAGACAGTACATTTCTTTACACTTCCTAAAATAGCCCATAAAATATGTAACACAGTTTAAAAATTAAGTAGAATTTGTAGGAGAAATAATACACAGGAGATGTATGAAAAATTATCTTAAAAATACATGAGAAAAGCATTACTATGTTTTAATTTCAAAGCAAGGCAATGTCTCTCGTAAGTATCAATGGATTCTCAATTAAATCTCTGGTGTAGCAATATCTAATTATGTTGAATGCTAAAAGTGTTAATAAGCAGCATATTTCTTCAGTGTCAGTCAGTGCCATATTTACCTAAAAAAAAGTAACACAAAAGCAGCTTTGTACAAGTAAGCTCTACTTTTTTCTACAGTACATACAGGAATGAGATTCTACCAGATTTTTAATGGTGTAGAAAGGAAGAATTTAGTCCAGTAAAAGAATGGAGTCCATTTTCTGTCAATTGGACAGCAGAGTACATAAGAGTTATGTACAAATTTCACAGCAAAATAGAGGGCTTTTAAGAAGCATCTAGTAAAAAAACCCAAACAACAACAAAAAATTCTAGCCTTTTAAAAAACCTGTTAAAGCTCTCAGGTTACTTATCACAGAGCCAACACTCACTGAGGTGCCACTCAGGAGATCCCCTGAGCATGCAACAGAACTCAAATACACGAGATTTTATTCAAGTTGTATAATGTGCTTATATGTGTTTTCAATATGAATGCTTATGAAATGTCATGAAAACTCTTTGATAAATTCAAGCTCTCTCTATTCAGCACCATCTTATAACAAAGAAATAAAATACGATATCACTCAGCAAATAACTTGGAATGAAGAACTCACAGACAAGTTACAAAAATACAAAACTCACCAAATATATTATTAGCTGTAGATTACTCACACCATCCACAGCACATTCAAAAGCCTCATTCATTTCACCTGGCACTATGTGCAACATATGCAAAACTGTTCTGTCTGTATGTTATTCAGGATGTCTATAAAGTTGTCAGAAATTAATGGAAGAAGAATTTAGAAGAAAACTCTGACCTGATTTTGCCATAGGTGTACGCAGCACTTTACAACAGTAACAGAGGAATGAAGATGCTACCCTAAAAGGTTTGCAGTTTCGTGTCATACTGTTAGTGTTGTTCACAGATGCAGCAGAATCATTTTGAAAGAAAATACTTTTAAGTAAGGTAAAGTGTGCTTGGCAATCAAGTCACTAGCAGGAGCCATCTCAAACAAATCTAAGGTGAAGCTGTACAACAGACAGCCTAAGAGTTACTGTTAATCAACAGGAGCTCGTCTACCCTTCATAAATTTTAAAAAAAAAATCAGATATTTTTATAAAAATACTGAATCTCTTGCAGTATAATTAAGATTTATCCTTCCCTAGTTGTTCTAGTCCTTGTTAAAGTTGCGCTTCCTGTCAAACTCAGAACTCCAGCTAAACAGGGTACAACTAACTGCATAAGTGAATACGTAACACAGTGATTGGATGAAGTTCAGCTTTTCTTACCCAAGCCCCAGAATATGCTTGTTTATGAACAGAAAGGAGGCTGGAATTCATCCCCAGCCCTTGGGTAAGTCAGACAGCATAGATGCCACCCTACCAGGAACACACTTTGTAATGATTTGAACACACAGGCTGCAATCACTTCTGCTATCCCTCTGCACTGTGCAGTAATTTGGGGTTTCTGAATCCACAACTGAATGGATTTGGTTGCCTTACTTCTGCTGATGCTCCTGTGGCCTTTGGTTAGTAACCAAGAGGACAGCAAGGCTCCCAGTCCAGATACCTCAGGGCTCAAGCAGCATGGTAGCCTTGAATTTCTCCTACCACAAGTAGACTGCATTAGTGGCTGCAAGGTACACCTTGAAAATAGTATCTGAAAAAGTGTATTTCCTGCCATTTATAAATAGATAGATCTTCAACAGAAATGTAAATGTTCATCTTGAAACTGATGTACATATTTCTAAGGCATTTTCTTCTGTATTCAGCTGTATATATGTGTAAGTCTGCTTGCTATGTAGCATTCTGTTATGCATGGAGCTGAGTGAGGCATATTTGTCCAGTGTTTCAAGAGCCTTAAGCATGTGTGCCCTAACTTTTGAATGTACAAGATATTTTTTCTTTTGCTGTCAAGTGAATTTAATGCAACAAAACAAAAGTCTAATTTTCTAATTCTATTAATTTTCTGATATTAAATTTCACTCACTTGTTACACTTACGAGTTATTATTTTCTCTTTGCTCAGAAATTTCAGAAATTTCAGTATTGCAACCTGCAGATAGAAAAGGAGCAATACACCTACTCATAGGGACAGCTGCCCCTTCCACTCAGTAGTATTTTTGCCACATGGAATACTGTTAACAAACAAATATTTGCAATAGACTTCCTTTAATCAAAGAAGTATTTACATTACCTTAAAAGTCATTTTGTTTCACTGAGCATGGGACAAATGACAACTTGGTTAGACATGCTGGCTTCCAGTCACATCGAAAGTGTGACTATAATCACATTTTGATTCCAAAATGTACATGAACAAAGCACATTGAGCAAAGCAGGTTGAGGGGGAAGTGCCTCTCTTTGGGAGGAGTTTTTCCATAAAAGTGTTTCTTCTTTTTTTTTGCTAAAACCATGAGAGTATTTGAACAGAAGTCTCAAGGTTCATTTTCCATCTTTCCTAATAATAATGAATATCAGTTTTGATTCTTGATTGGGATTATTTTGTCTTTCCAATGTAGATGGCAATGGCAATTTGTAAATGAAGAGTGTAATTAACTAGAAAAGCTTGTCAACAGTAACCAAATTTTAGGTGTATCATTATATATGACTGGCTGTACTTATGTATTTATTTGTCTAAATTGTATATATTGTTTTATCTATAGTGTCTGTAGGAGTGTATTCTTTTAGATTAATGTATTATTTACAGTTTTGTGGGATTGCCAGCAAAGCTGCTAATCAAGATACTATTTTTTGTATCAATGTCAGAAATAAAAAAATTTAACAAAAACAAAACGACAAAATCAAGTGAAAAATTAAAGATGTCCTGTAAGTTTTCTTCTTCGCTTCTTTCTAGAAATGTAAATGGTATTATCTGAAAATTCAGTATCAGTGAATAGGCTCATTTGTCATAAGGAAGAATATTGTGCTGTAAAAGCAGATTTTAAAATAATAATAATTGAAAAAATAAAAAATACTACTTTTATTCATCATTTGTGCAACAACTTCATCAAGCTGATGTCCACATGGATCAGGTGTACTACTTCCTTTGAAGCCAAAGACATAATATTAAAGTAGCCATGGCAATATCTGACAAAGTAGCAGAGGGGTTCATCATCTGCTTTGTCCTGTTTAGCTGTTTTGGCAGCCCCAGCCAATGAGACCAAAGTCTGGCTGTTCTAACGTGCTGAAGCTTTTTGACTCCCTTGGCCCTACAACATGGTTCTTCTGCTACCTCCGTCGTGTCTTAACATGTGTGCTTGCAGCCATCAAAAGTTACACACAGGAGAAAAAGAGAAAGCCCCAAAACCCCATCTCACAAAAACACAATAAATTGCTTTGAAGTTGCTGTGTGACCACCAGGAGGGTACCTAAACAGAGGGAAAGGGTCCTCCCCTGATCTCTCATAGATGCATGACAGAGCCTTTTACTTCCCCAAGCCCCCCCCAAAGCACCAGCAAATAAATGAAGGATCACAGTGCGAATACACCCAGATTACCCAATTAACCTTGTGTAGTGTTTGTCTACCAACAAAAATATATGAAGATGCTGTTTTTTCTAGCAGGAAGGTCTGGGTGACTTCAGGGTCCTCACAACAAAATAGAAACACAAGACAAAATAACACAAAAGTAGCAAAACTTCCCTTTTACCATAAGAAATAGTCATAAAAATTCCTCTCTCTATATTCTTCCCTTTGCAGTTCCCTATGTAGAAGGAAATACCTAACATCTTGACCACTGGCTTCATTTATGAAACTGAGGGGAAAATAACACCCCTCCCTCAGCAGAAATGTAGCTTTTGGAAAACAAAGTATGTTTGCTTTGGGTCACCTGTTTCAGAAGTAGCTCAAGCCTGCAACAGAGTCCTCAGGCATCCTGGGAGTGTCTGCAGCAATGCAGCAACCTTACAAACCATAATGAGATGCTTTAAACCAACAAAGAGTTCCACACACAGTAAAACCCCTTCGATCATTTTCATCTTTCTCTCGTTTTCACGAAAGCAGCCTAATTGCAACACTTACATGGTGTTTAATTAATAGACAGCTTGGAGATATACAGATATTAGCACTTGTAGGATGGATTTCATGTAGTTTGATTATCTTAATTACAAGCATTCTATTCTCTCATTTACTTAATTGATTGTCATAGATTTCCAAAGAAATTTGCACTGCCCTAAGTGAAAACAGTATGTAAAAAACCTTCTTAAAACGGCTGAAACTGGTTTATTGAAGCAGCAATGTGCCAAAAAAAAAAAAAAAAAAGGGAGATCCATATGACATGAAGCATTGTACTGAATAACAGCTGCTTCCTTTTCTCTTGTTAAAAATATGAATTTATGAAATGGAAGAAGAGGAGTCATCTGGGGGAAAAAAAACCACCTTATTGATTCAGCTGCACCTGTAAGAGACTTGTCTTAAATATCACCTCTGATGACATGCCTAATGCAGGAAAAAAGATCCATTTTTCTGCTAGGTCTGCACATTAGCTGACTCTACATTATATCTCTGTCTCACCTGAAGGAGCCAAGGAGAGCAAGAGGCGATTTATTTGTCATGCAAGATTTATCCTTGAGCATTTATTCTGCAAAGCCAGCATTACATATCAAGCCAGGCAGAATTATGTGCAGTGGTTTTGTAATGCAGACAACTTTTATTTGGGGGAAGCAAATACCCCAAAATTGAGGTGTCCTGGCTAACACCTACCATATCTGCAGCTAAATGAAAACTGTCAAGAATAAGTCCACTCCCTACATCCCTTTTTCCTCTAGGAGTTCCTTTCTCTGGCCTATTTTCTAATATGACCTCTTTTCTCAAAGAGAAATGGGACCTCTAGGCACCCTAGCATAGTAGTAAAAGCAAGAGGGAAGCAGAGGGCTCCCTACAGTATCATTATGGAAGTGCTAGCAGGCCCAGTGAACAAAATTATTCAGCATGACATCCATCCTCTTTTGGCAATAAAGAAGCAGCCACAGAAGTGAGATAAGCCACAACCAGCACCTGAGCTTGTCCATCTTGATGCATGAGCTATTGGGCTCCAAGTGCATTATGCTCAGATCATGCACCGATTCTTTCCAGCATGAGACATTGATAGAACATCATAACAGAGAAGTGGTGCCAAAATGTAGCAGGAGCAGAACAGGATCTTATAATTTTGAGATCTTATAATTTTGAGATCTTATAAATTTTTATTGTTTATTCACTTGCATTAAAATCCCTTCTCAAAAAGCATCTTCTACTGCAGGAATTTTCAACAGTTATCCATTATCCAGCAGATCTTATCCTCATACATACTTAAAGACAGCACAGTGTAACACTGGGCTCC